ACCACTAAAACACTGGCAGTTCTCAGAGATTCTAATCAGTGACCAGCAACTGAAGATGCAGTGAGAGAGCTATATATCATAGACAATGCCAAAGAAAAGAGATTTACTGAAAAACCTAAAGTACGATCTCTCAGGGACGTTGCTTCAGAACTGGATTGTAGGGAACAACTTCCTCGTACAGAGGACCCCAGGGACTTCGTCTTGAATCCCTATTGATGGAGTCCTTGAATCAATGGTGAGTTCGTGCAAACTTAGTAAAAAAGTTTCTGTCCTCTAGATAAGGTCCGCTGTTAAGAAAACTAATGCGACAAACAAAATCTTCCTCGGAGTGGAATTTGTTTAAAATGTCTCTATTGGAAATTAAACCCTCAGATTATAATAGAGAGGGGATCATAGGAAAAGAGGAACACATAGAAGAAGACTGTGATCCAGCAAGAATGCGGTACCTACCCCCTTTATTGATCACATAACGACACTCTGTACTTACAAAATCAGAAAGTGCACAAGCAGCTTCTTTCATTACAGAGAGGGAAAGTACTCTTGTACTGTAGGGGCATCCACTTTCCTGGATTACTCATTGTATAGAATTCTGCATAACAAAAACCTTAGCATAATCATTATTAGTAATGACATGGCCTGATTATGTTGAACCCAATTACATAGAATATTTTTTACTTTATGGGTATCATTTTTATGGAAATTTACCAATACTAACAACATTGAGTAATTACTATGATCAGGAACTATGTCAAGCGCATTATATACATTTTATACTTTTTCATAATTTCTTGAAGGCGATTTGTGATCTAGGTTTTCCAGACAAAGGTATTGTGACACACAAAGGTTAAAAAACTTCCCAAGGTCATACAGCCAGAGGTGAGATTCAAACCCAGGTAGTATGACTCCAAAGCTTTAATTCTTAGCCAGTCTCTGTTCTTTTCTGACCCACTAGTTGATCTAGATAATGATTCTGCCATTGAGTTACTGACTGGTAACCTCACCATTGATAAGGTTTTGGGGTACAAACTAATGTCCTCAATGTTCTAAGGGGCAGAAATGGAAACTGAAAGTATCAGGATTTTGCACAAGCCCAACTGTTGACTATAAGTTCCTCAAATGCAGAAGTGAAGACCTCTGGTGTCCAAAGACTGTGACAAATTCAGAGGAAGTGGGTGACTTTACAGTGACGGAGCACTGAGGAAGGATGGGTTATAACTTTGAGTCTACCGGGAAGGCTGATTCCACCCACCAGCAGGGCCACTGACTACATGGGGTTCAACTGGTCAAAACAAAACAGAGAAGCAAAAATTTAATTTCAGGAACAAGACCCCAGGGAGGAGGAACGGTAGCACTTAGAAGTCACCAAGAATCCCCACAGTCACTCTTGAAGCAAACCCAGGATCCAATCAGCAGCAAACAAAACCTGGTCCAGCGGTTCCCCTGAGGTTCCTGGGTATGGGAAAATAGCTAATGCTAAGCTCCACTCTCTTGCTGGCCAGGCTGCAGATGCTATAATGCTTTTTTCTTATGTAGAAATCAGTATCAGACTGAACCCATGAAGGAGCAGATGATAGGTGAAGACGGGCAGAGTAGGAAATGAGGTGGGAATAAGCTAGAGCTATATTAACACACTGAAGGAGCTCCAAGAAGTGAAAAAACAAAACAAAACAACGATGGTACCTCTGACCTAAGTAATTCAAGGTACTGTAAAAGTGAAAGGAATTACAACAAAGTACTTGTTTTCCCCATGATGAAAAGTGTTGACTGTTTTAATACAATATTAAATATTAAAAGTAAAATTTGGGGTACTCACGATCACATGTCTAATTTTTCTGTAGACTGGCCTAATTCACAATATTTTCATTTGGTTTGAAAATGAGTTTGCTAAAAGATCCCCTGAAGGTTTCCAGGGAAATAGTTCATGAAAATCTGAAGCACCTTTAGAATATATCAACTCTTAGTGATTTCCCTGTGGAGTCTGCAAAATGGTCATGCCAACTGCTTTGGCTAGATAACAGTGGAGGCCCATAACTGATTCTTAAGTCCAAAGGAAAGAATGGCAATCAATATGCAAGAATAAATTAGGAAATAGTGTTGCCATTGGAATGTAAATCACCACCTTCCTACATACAATATTTTTTCTTTCCTAAGTCAGAGCCTGTAGCAGCCTGTTTCCTTACCTAGAGCGTTGTGCCAGTGATGTAGCCTTTGATAATTCTTGTAATAAGAATCCAGTCATGTATGACATTTAGGAGGGAGCAAAGGGTTTGATTTCCCTCGGGGCCCTGGAACCCTTATAAAAATGCCTTTAATGAGAAATGAAAGGAAAAAAAAATTAGGGGGTCAGAAATTGAGCCAAATCAAAAATGGTGCCAAATCACTAGGTACTAGGCTACCTTTTAATGGTTCTATAGGTAATAGAGAAAACTACTTACTTCAAGTAGTTTGTTTTCCTCAAATATCCAAATTAACCTAAATATCGGTCTAAATTGGAAAAAAAAGAGGAATAAAGAGAACCAAGATGTCATCTTAATGCCTTCTCTGCTGCCGACAAGATGGATTTTGGACACCACTGGAATATAGACATTTAAGAACACGGCTTTTATCACTCCATGTCACAAGCATGCTTACACTTTCAAGAAAATCTGTGCTTTCACTAAGTGGCCCATAATAGCAATAACAGGCCTCACCCTTTCTACAAAACCCGTTCCAACGAGATGTAATCCACTCACATTTTCATTTAGGTCTTCCATTCAATCCCTTCAGTTAGCTTTGTCCTATTTCCTATGGGTGGAGTCTTTAGTTATATGCTTTTCTCAATGTCATTTACAAAGCAGCCACTTGTCTCTCCAAGCCCCTTTCCTTGAGTGTAAGCCAAATGTCTGCCTCTCACACTCTCTTGAAGTCAGGACCCTATGTAATTTTTGGCTGAGGACGTATGCTAACAGAGAGGTGGTGACCTGTGTCTCCCCTCACGTCATTCTGTTCACACCCATTGGTCAGTACAGTCTAACAAAAAGTTTGCGTGGAGAGTGGCTTCCAAGACAGTTAGTTTAATTCATCGCAGAGGAAAGGAATATATTCTTAGGGAAGAATGATTCCTGGGAATATACAAGACAAGAAGAAGCTTGGAGTTTCCTCCGTCAAGCTGAGTGTCCACAACCACTAGGATGATGTACCAAGCCCCTGCTCATTAAAGAGCAGTTCTCATTCAGAAAGCATCACCATCACTTGTGAGTTTGCTAGAAATGCAGATAACAGGCCTGTTTCAGATCTACTGCATAAGAAACTGCAATCTCCAGGTGATTCATATATGCATTCATGTTTGAGGAGCATTGGCCAAGAACATGGTTCTCAGCTTTGGTTACACATAGGCACCAACCAGGGAAACTTAAAAATAATTACTGATGCCCAGGTCCCACCCCCAGAGATTCCAAGCTACTCTGTCTGGGGTGTGGCCTAAGCACTGGGAGTTTTAAAAGCTCCCCAGGAGATTCTGAGGTGCAGTCGGAAGTTGAGAGCCACTGGCAAAGAGGCAGAGGAGGGCTACTTTTCCCAGCCCCCTGCTCTTTGCCTCATAGTCAAACAGTGGGATTCCTGGAGTCCGAATCTCTCTTTTCCTGTGGCCTGGCTGCCCAGAGCTGCGCTGTAAGTACGGGGGAAACTCTATTAAGAAACTTAACTTTCTGTCTAGTACTTTGATCTCCCTCCCACTCTCACCCTCCACATAGCTGCCCCTGATGCCCCACACTTTAGCAAACCACACCAGGGGCGGACATCAACTCGTGCTTTAAAAATACAAACTTGGAGTCCACCTTGAGAGCTACATCAGAGTCTCAAGATAGGACGCTACAATCCGCATTTTTAACTAGCTTCCCAGGTGTGTCTGATGTGCAGTCAGGACTGTGAACTCCACAGCGGGTCTAGCCTTACATCCTGCCAAGTCATTAAGGATTTGTAAGGATGAATGAGCTGTCAAGAGAGCAAGGGCCTGATGCAATGCTCCTTTTTTAATTATGGCGAAGTGATGTATTGGCAATGATAATGCTTCTCTTGGAAAGGGCAATGAATGGTTCGTCGATTGCTGCATTAGATCTTTCCCAACTTAACCTTAATGCTCAGCTTTTACTCTTCTCTGTAGTTTTAAAAGCTGCAGGGCTTTCACATTAAGCAGCCTCTTGGTCTTTATTCCCAAGTGAGCTGCAATCTTTGAGGGAAATACCAAAAGGGAGAATCTTTTGGAGTTCTTGGCTGGGGAATTAACAACCCCCACCCCCCCGCCCCGCAATCCTTATCTGCTTGTGTCAGCAGCTCCTAGCCAGCGTATTGCTGTGCAGGTCTGGTAAGTAGGAAAAACACGGAGTGAGGATTTCAGAGAAAATCATTGATACATCCCCGGATCCCTCTGCTAAAGGAACGCTTCCTTTAGCGGGGCGATAGAAAGTGGAGGAAGAAAGATATATCTGGCTGAACAATTTCAGAGGTGAGAAACGGGTGGGCGAGCCGGGGTGGCGGTTCTGTCTGTGGGTGAGGGGAGGAAGGTGGCAAAGAAAAGTTGCAGCGTCGGTCTGCGCGTGTACTCCATGGGCTGGGCGCTGGGGAAAGCGCTAGCGTGCGGCCGGGACGCACTGCGGGGCCGAGAGCCGGGAGGACGTCGAAAAACCTTCTCCGCGGCCGAGGCTGGGAGGCTGGAATTGCTGCCCGCCCGCCGGTAGCTCCAGAAACGCGCCGGCTCCGCTCGCCCGCGGTGACCGAGGCCGCCGGGGTGGGGGCGCGCGGGGGGCCGGGGCGCCGGCGGCGGCGGCGGCGGCGGCGGCGGGGCGGAGCGCGCGTGAGAGCGAGTGCGAGGCTGCGGGCGGCGGGCTGGCGGGCGAGTGTGCGCGGGAGGAAGGGAGGGAGGGGAGGGGAGCGGAGCGCGCGCGCCGCCCGGGCCCCGGCCCTCCCAGCCTCCCGGCCTCCGCTCTGCCTCCCGCCCGCGCGCACCGGCTGCCTGCCGCCGCCGACGCTCCTGCTCGCGCCGGCGCTGCACTGGAGCTTGCCCGCCGCCGCCCGCTTTGTGCTTCCCCCCGAAGATGGGAGCGACCTTTCCCAGCTCGGGAGCTATTTAAAAGGAGGGAGTGCGCCGTCTTTCCTACTAACGTGGAGGAACTGGGGAAGGATCCAGCCGCACTCTCCCTAAACCAGGTAGGATCTTCGGAAGGGCAGCAGGAAGGATTTGGTCAGACACCGCCAACTGTTTTCCATTTGTTCAGAAGGCTACACTTCCCCCCGCTTTGGCAAAGGACCAGCTCCTAAATTGTGTGTGTATGTGTGTGTCCCCACCCATTTTCTGGGGGTGTCCGCGCTTCTCGGGGAGTGAAATTGCTCTGGCTGGTGCGTCTGGGCGTTGAGGGTGCCCGCCTGCCAGTGCCGGCTGCCGGAGCAAGAAAGGGCTGCTGAGGAGAGATGCTGCACCCTGCACCGCGCTGGGCTTAAGGATTCAGGGCGCGAAGAGCGAAGTCCACCCGGAATGCAGCGCTGCTGGGGATCCAGGCGTCCCCACCCACTGGGCTCTGCTCCGCGGTGACCCCTCCTCCCGGTAATCCCTGGGGTCTTCCCCAAGGCCGCACTCGCGAGTCTCCTCTTTTCCGGCCAGCCCTGGGTGCTCCTTCAGCATCGACTGCGGAGAGGAGGGAGGTGTGGCCGGGGCGAAGGGACAGGCAAGGGAGAGAAGCGGCGGGGGAGTGGGCTGCAGGGTCCCAGTCTCTGGGCACCCAGCCCGAGTGTGCGTTGGGGATCCTGCGCGCAGAGGCATCTTTCCCCAGGACATTCGAAGGGAACTTTGCCGCTGCATTGTCTGCCTCTGGAGCTTCGCTGGCTCTTGGGGAAATGGTCTGTGTTCTGAGACGTGAGGATATCCTTCTTGGATCCTCCTTAATGAAGAAGGGGGAGGTCTTATGGGTGGACGGTAGGCTACAGAAACCAAATCCACCCAGGCGATGCTTTTAAAAATATAGTATGTGTGCCTCCGTGGTTTTTCAAATCCCCCTTCCTTTATGGATTGTGTTGACTGATGAATGGCTTGGGCCGGCAATTCGTATTTCCCTCTCCAGACAAAGTGGCAATGGTTGGGTTGGGAGCAGAGCGATCAAATTTAACAAAGAATTTTGTGAAAAAAGCAATGTGCTTGGTGTCCGCAGTCGCTGGAAAGAAAGTCCTGCTTTGCACTAGGTATTCGTTTAACCCCTCTTTGCCTGGCTCCCTTGCTGGCGCTGTCTGCTGCTAGTCAGCCACTAGTGGTTGTGAATATAACAATACAAACTTTGTCCTGCTGGAGGTGTAAAGACTAAAAAAAGAAAAAAAAAAAAAGGATATCAGTAGGAGGTGAAGTGGAAGAAGCTTTTTAAAAAATGACAGATGTAAAGACAGTACAGGCATCCCTGTCATGGAGGAGCTAGTATAGTAGGTGGAGAGTCTGATCAGATGTGGTTAAAGGCATAGCTTGGGTCTCTCCAAATAGGAGCAACTGAACATCCACAGTCTAGCATCTGTGTGAAGATTTCCTAAGGGAAATGGGGAGCAACCAGGAGGGGATTCTGAAAGCATACCTCCCACCCACACTCCCCAACATACACACACACACACACACACACACTCTCTCTCTCTCTCTCTCTCTCTCTCTCTCTCCCTCTCT